CGTTTTCCCCTGCCTTCCACGCGCAGCTGCACCCCTGTTCCTGAGAACAGAACTCTGCTCATCGAGTGCTTTCCCCAAACTCATGGCTGTTGTCGTTGATCTTTTGGTTGCAGTGACTAACGGCACATCCTCGATCGTGCGAGTTCCTTCCTGAAGACTTAAACGGAGTGAAACATGCACTTAAAATGCCTGAGAAGCTCATGACCGATTCTGAGAAGTAATGCAAATATTTCATGGATTCACATGTATGAGTATTATACATATACCGCAATAATTTACCCCGAATCGCGAATTTGAAAAGGCTGAGACCACATGACCGACGCCTGAGAAGTCTGTGTAGTTAGTTCTTGCCTATGAGGCGAAAACTCAGTAACTGATATTGGCATTTAATTCGACATCAAACACGACATAGCTATTTAAACCATTTTATGGTTGGTTTAGGCAGCCTTTATTTGGGACGTTTGGTGAAATAGCCAATGCATTATATCTTTCGTAAGACAAATAAGGCACTCGTTGGTAATAAAACTGTAGGCGGCCTGGTAAGCATTTCAAATCATGACTAATTTTTCAGTCAGACAGCGTGAAAAAGACAATTTTACGAACATAACATCAAACTCCGTTCACGGATACACCTGGCATTCTCCTGAAATGGGGGAGGGTACGCTAAGCCTTCCGACACATCCACGCGCAAAAGTTGTTTCAGAAAGGTGTTCACCATCGTCCAATATATCAAAACGAATCAAGCCGATTACGTTAAAGGAGGCGCAGGCGAACGCTTGATGGACCAATGCATGCCTAAGACAAGCAGTTTCCCGAAATTATTCATCGGTGGTACGGTGTTAGGGGGGACAATTTGGTAGTCGATTAAGTAGCAGGCGTCCAACTTGCTTAACATACCAATAAGTAGTGGTTTCAAAACAACATGCGACAAAGCAGTCAGACGATCAGTTCGCCCCCAGTTGGGCAGATGGTAGCCGCCATTGAGAGGCGGGCAGCCAGACAAAGATCCGGACACCTCAAGGGACTTTTTGCAGCCTGCTTCAAAGGAGCAGAGTTACGCCGTCATTCAACCCTCTTTTCCCGAGTAGCGATGACGCGTTGATATCTACGGCGTGGTGTCGTTATGGTATCGTTATGAAAGTAACCATAAGTGCATGTGAGTGAAGCAAACAATGGTGCTGCAGCCTGGTGGTGACATAATTATCAAGCTTCGAGCCGTGCGGGACCGATTTATAGAGTTTGTAAACTCTCCGGGATACTACTTGAATAATTATAAATGCCATGAACGACACAGGACACAAATTGCTGTGTATCGTGCAAATACATGGTAGTAGACAATGCGTTCTTTGTTATACCAAATATGACTTTCAGTCCAGCCACAAAATACTTTCTTAGTACGTCTCTTGCCATGGGAAGCAGTAGTCAGCTGGACGGGGAGTTAACGTCCGGCCTTACCGACTCAGCTGCCTGCTGGTGCCGCGAGCAGGCATAAACATCAGACATGCGCTGGACCCACTGGATGAAAGTTAGAATGCGAAGTTAGATTTCGCCTAAACGGCGGTGCTGTCGGCTTTACACTGAGCCAACTACCGCCTGGGTAGCGGGATCACGGCTTCAGACCATTCACTACAACAGGGTTTACGGTCTGCCAGAAATAGACAATGTGATTCAGTGGATGTCCCAAGCGGCTCTGGTTACCGGAGCAGCGGCCTTATTCGGTGAGACTGAAATCGCCCGCTTCGTGCCTGTGGTGTACGCTGGCTGCTGTTGTGGCATATGCCTGCTGCTGCTGTTACGTGCGCTGGCTGCTGTAGGGATATCCACATCGAGCGCTATCAAAGTCGTCCCAGAAAGTGTACCGAAAATGAAACCAACCGCTCACAGGATATTTAGATTGCTACTAACCACATCTTATAATAAAGGCTGGCAAGGAAGGGCACCAAACATGTCAGAACATATTGGTATCAAGAGGCGAATACATAATTTAGTTGTATTAAACAGGGCAACCAAATGCACTTAGTTGTACCACTATACTGTACCTCGATACATACACCGTCGTAAGGTCAATACTAAGTATTCGCCGAAAATGTGGGTGCCATGGCACTTATGGACCTGCCTTTTCCATGTTTTCACACCTATATTTAATACCAACTACATGGGACTAAGGATTTTTTAAAGGTCAATCATGTCTGTATTCAGTGAGTGGGAGGTGGAGGACAACTTGGTGGTCACGAATCCGAGGTTGTTATGATCGTTCAGGTCTGAACGGCCTCGTCAAGATTTGAGCGGACTGCGAACGCGGAGGAGGAGCATTCACCCTCTTGTGATTAGCCATTTGCTACGAAAATCTTCAACGTTCCAGACAGTGCCACCCTGAACATAACTAAGCGCAAAAAAACATTGCAGTTTCCATCCGTGCAGCTACAACTCGAATCGCTCTCAACTGCACAAATGTCTAGGCATGATCAGAAGGCAATGCTGTTACCGGACTACCACGACCAGCTTCGCATTGACAAGCGAGTTGAATGAAGCTTTCGAATTGTGCAACAGTTCTCTCGAAAGGGCATGCCTGGATGAAACTGCCGGACGCTCGCCACCAACGATTCGTAAACGACGTTCCGCCCCCTCCCCCCCCCCCCCCCTAACAAAAACTTCCGATCACATTTCTGGCATCTTTTGTCATTTTCGTTCGCTAATACTCCGCCGGCGCCGATATATCATTCCAGCGCAGCCGCCACACATTTGGAAGTGACACAGGCGAATGGAGCCTACGCCTTTCAGACAAAAATTGTGTCCATCTAGTGCTTTTGTAAACTTGTTCAGGTCTACGAAGGTCTGTTCCGATCGCTCAGTTGGTTAGAGCGCCTGCCTTCCCATCCGCCCACTCGGTGTGGGGTGGGCTTGAGTTGCATTAGCCGCTCGCTATTTGACATTGACAGGTATGACCTGCAGCCGGTGGCACTGCCCGCGCTAGAGGCAAGGTGACGTCAGGAGGCAGGACGGATCGTTCCGAGCAGTACAGTGCGTTTAATTTCCGCCGCTTAGCTCTGCCTTTGAGCTGGACTTTCACAATAGTGTGGTAGAGTCAACACTCTGGAGGCATAGCTAAATTATGGCTACTTATCAAACAAGCGAATATAATTTTTAAAGTAACTCTAGAACAGCATCGCAAATAAATCGCATAGACAATAAACATAACGCTGAAAAACCCGCGAGGAGTGGGTGATCCGCACGAGTAAGTGTGACTGCTATGGTGAATGTCTCCGTCGCAGTGTGCGTCAATGCTGTGTCCTGTGTGACAACAAACTTATCTGCTTTTGCCAGACAAAAACGGTGCTGAGTGTTTCCAATGAGAAGTTAGGTGTCGTTTGCATTGATCGTGCTTTATGCTCTGATTTTAAGTGCGTTAGTTGCCGACATGACACCTGCCATATTTTTTTTTAGAATGAATACACGGGGTATCGAAACCGTTAAATAAGTAATACACACAAACGCAAACACACACACAATATTATATACATATATATATATATATATATATATATATATATATATATATATATATATCAACTTGCATTGCTCCGAAAGTCAACAGGGATGGTCCGTCTAATCCTCAGCAATGGCGTGATCTTTTTTTATCAATATCGACAAGAGCAGATGATGGAAACACGTGCACAGTTTTGTCGCCTGCACACAACGTCATCTGAGAGCGGAGTTCTGGCAGTCTGTGAACTCAGCATGCCCTGCTGCCGATCTCAGGTCTGCGCCTAGCCTGAACCGAAATGCGCTTGAGCTGGATTCAATTTAACGTGGGTTCGGGTGCCCAATTACAACTCTACCGAAAAACGGCGAAATAATACAGCATTATTGCAACATAACAACATATTCAGATTTCTACAGCGGCGTGCTCATTAGCAAACGTGTCGGCAATATACGTAATATAGACGTGCTAATCTTGCATAAAGCTTGTGGCACCAGCCCACCTCAGCGACGTTCATCTGCTTGACTGCGCCCATTACATATAAAGTTTTCATCTAAGCATGCATGAGTATATACCATGAACGCAATCCGGATAACATGAATGACCACCGATCTCCGACTTCCCTCACGCCGATGATGATTAGCAAACAGATGTGAGCCACCCTCGCCGCCGGACGCGCGCCGAGCGAGGTTATCGCGGTGGCTTGCCCAATCTGGCCGGGCCAATCTGTGCGGGAGCGCCCTCCCCCCCCCCCCCCCAACCGATCTCTCTCCGCCGGATCCACTGATTGGCCGCCAAGCCGGCTGGCCAGCGGGTCACCGCCTCCAGCGAGGGACGCGCTCTGCGCGAGGACAGCACGCTGAGGGCCCTCGGGGGCAATCCTAGTGACAGACTGCATTAAGGAGCAGTCATGTATTTCTGATGCGATGAAGTTCGTCTTTCCGGCTGGGGACATCACTAGGAATGATTTGCTGGGACGCGCCGACTGCGCATGCTTGCTGCCACCTGGTGGTGTGGCTTGGTTAGGGGCCTGCTCGGAACTTTTATCGGTCGGCGATGCCTTCAGCTTAACTAGATCTTGCTGCGACTGTCTCTCCATGCGTTAGAATAAATGAGGATCGACGGAATGCTTGCAGACCACACCACTTTTTCCTGTCTGAATCACGCGATCCATGACTGTTCTTATAGATCGAAGCCACAAAGCATGTATCGGATGACACATTTGGGACGAAAATAGCGAGCTTTAAACAATGACTTGCTTTGGAGCCAATGCCTCATCAAACATCCCAACCGAGAACAGATGCTGGTGGCGATCCTTTGCCTGTCTCGAAAAATAATTGCTGGTGCTGCATATTGCATCTCTGTTGGTTCCAACGATCAAGGCACCTTCATTTTGTTAATGGCTGTATCAATACGTCATATAATTTTGCTGCGCATTACGCTGGAAACAAACGCAGCCATTTAGTAGTAAGGCACCTACTAACTAGACGGTTCAGTAGCGCTGACCTGTGTCCCGTAGCAGTAGCTGGAAGAGCCTTCACAATCCAAGTCCTCCACCGATGTGGCTGGCGCCAGTGCCTCGGTCTCTGCCCCATCCGCCTCTCTTTGGTCCCCATCTTCTGCCTCCTCTTCCTCTTCCTCCTCCTCCAAAATGGTCTGCGCACAATAACGTTTTGTTACCATTGCACTCATCTCCGAGCTAGAAGGAGTACCTGAGCTGGCTCGTTTGGGTCTGAAGGCGCCAGAAAAAGGGGAACGTTATGCTGTGATTGTCATCGCCTTGACTTGTATAGACTTCGTAGGGCCAGAAATTTGATGAGATTTTTGAAGGGTTTCTACTATCTATGCATACATGCAAGTATATAAGTATATATATATGTATATATGTGTATGTATATATATATATATATGTATATATATATATGTGTGTGTATATATATGCATAGTTTTGTTTATACGTAGGCCATTGAAGAGAAAGGCATTTTTTTCTTGGATAACAACCGGTTGAGATTTTCCATAGTTCGAACGTTGCTTTTCACATCTTTTGGTACATTACAAAATGTCTCACCAAAAAACACGTGTCACGTGATACATTCTCAGTTTGACACTTTTGATAAGTCCTGTATTCATTCTCAAAAACAGTCGCAAAAAGCTCTTCGTCTCATGCCGGCAACCGCCACATTAAAAATCAGAGCTTAAAGCATAAGGATACAAACATCATACATTCTTATGCAATTACACTCACCACCGTTTCGACCATCCCCTAGCCGTGCAGACTGCGTCACTAACATCACCCTCCGTGATCTACACAATCAGCATAACAAACCACAACACTGGATGCTGATGATCTAATCTCCATGTGGATTTTCCAGTGTCATGTCTCTTGTCTGTGTGATTTATTAATTTGTGTCAGCGGTGTAATATAACATCTTCAATTGAGGGACCGCGCCCATGAACCTGACCCATCGTATTTCCCAGACTTCGTCCACTTTATTCTGTGGTTTTAAGTTGGACTTGAGATGAGAAAGAAAGGCTTTAAGTTTTTGGTTGTTCGGTATCATGAGTTTACAGTTACTGTTTGAGTTAACACCTTTAATGTACAAAAAGGGACTGATTGAACGACGTTGAGGCGCTAAACAACGATTTTATTGACGGTACTCAACATTTTGAGCAGTGCACATCCTCAAGGACTTATCTCTTGAGGATGAGCACAAGACAGCAGGTGGGCGTTAGTATCTTAGTAATGTTTCGTTATATTGTCATAGCTTACCAAAATATGAAACAAGGATTTTCTATCGTGTTTTGGTTCAAAGACGGATTATTTGATGGGGAAAAACTAGCCACTAATGGGCCACGACACCTCTCTGTCATAGCCGACAACGCACGCACCCACAACTGGTGCCGTCTCGCGGCTGCTCCAGGAGGCTGACAGCGATTCGGAGACTGTGGGAACGACAGCATGAGGCAGCAATTTTGAGCACCTGCTGGGCTCTTCCCGGAAGTACCAGCCACTGGAGTTAGGCAAGATACTTCATTGAATATTGTGATGACAATACTCCAGGACAGGACGGGTCAAAAGTTGATTGTCTCATTTTTCTACTTGTAATCAAACAATGGTGGGCAGGCGGGTTGGATCCAGAAGTGGGTTATGGTTAAGTCACCCACCTCCTTGGACCACTAATGAGGTTTTTGGTACAATTACGTGGATACCAAAATGTTATCGTGAAGAGGCTATTATTTCGGGACACCATAAGGTATGTTTTTAATGAGAATGTTTACGTCTTTCACTCTCGACAAAATTCCTGATCGACTCGTTCATCGCCGCTCGGCGAAGTGGCATAACAACATGCGTTTCGGGGAGACGTAACCTTTACTCTCCAAAGACATTCAGCTCCAGCTGGAGCCATAAAGGACCTTAAAAGGTTCATGTCTAAGACACCAAATTCCAAGGGCACCGCAATTTGGTACCTTCCCATTCACGAAATTCGGGTCGGTCCATCTGGCGAAGGGTCACCAAAACTTTTTATTTGGAGCATCATAACTTTGCTTCCAAGAGATAGCAAATTCAAACTGGTCACTTAAAGGCCACCGCATGTTCATTTTCAAAGGGCACTAAAATCAGGGCAACACAGCTTCTGCACTTTCCTACGTAACGAAATGGTCGGTCGGACTCCTTCCGCGAAGATACCGAACGCCTCCATTCCGTGCATCGGGCCTACATTTTCAAGAGCCGTCCAATTCTAGAGAGACGCCACGAAGGGTTCCAAAACCTCTCATTTCCTGTGGGGTTCAATTCTCGTAGCACACAATTGCTCCAAACTATTCCTTTCACTAGGATTCAACGGCGCCACCATGCGGTGATAAAGAAGCTCGTAACCGTCCTTAGGTCACTAGGTCTCGACGGGCCCTTTGGGCCCTGAGACGCCCACGACCAAGGGTGCAATCGGACAGAACGCAGGGCAGACCAGGTCAGGTCAGAACCTTGTCTTGTCCAACAAGACAATACAAAAGTGCACGTGTTCGCACTCACAATGAGACAGTAGCCTGTGTCAGTCGGAGGTCCCAGTACCGAATGAAGGGGTCCTCCACACCGATTTAACCAGGGGCTGAAGAGCAGAAGTGGGTGTCTCGGTGCCAATGGCCGAGCTCCCTGCGCCGGTAAGGGATCCTTTTTCATCAGTGACGCCCCCTGTGTCGATTCTGTGCCAGATGCCCAGGTTAGAGGGCTTGCCGCACCAGGGCTGGGAGCGATGCATGTTGTGTTCCTCTGGAGGCCTCGGCTAGCGGCTAAGTCCAGCGACTCAATTTTGGGTAATTTCGGCGACTTTGATTCCCTACTGTCTTTCCATCAGCAAGCTCCATTTGTTAACCGCGGTGCGCCTCTCTCATCTTGACCGGCTGCGCTGCTGACCAGAGTTCAGGTCAGCGCAGCCAATGGGAAAGGTTCGTCACCCCTTTGGCCCGCGTTTTTCATTTAAGGCTCTTGGAAGAAAGTTAGGAACCAATATACATAGTACATTGGACTACTCCTACCGCAATACCCATCAGCATTAGGCAGATTTTTGTGTAACGTATCAACACTAGCAGTTACATGTGTTCGTAATCGAACGAACACAGATTTTAAGGGCCGGGCTGAGGGGTGAGTAAAGTGACAAAACGCACATATGCAGCCAGTTATGCACATAAAAAGCTTGACGCGCAGGTAAGCCGTTCCACTTTGGCGTTTCGAAAACAGCTGTTATTTATTGAGATGATTATATGCTACACTTTTATAGCCAACGGTTGGAAACCTGAACAGGGAACCCACCCGTATTCCTAGCTGAAGACAGGCCATCGGAACCGCTTTCTGAGATACGCTAAACGTTGCTCATAAAAGAGACCTTTGGGGATAGGAGGGGGTAGCAGTCTAAAGGTACGTTAATAACTAACTAATGGCCCACAAAGAAATGCAAAGTTCCACCCCTGGTCCGTGTCAAATAAACACTAGTGAACAACGGGTACACGGCCGGTGACTTAGACAAATAGATATATCGCTTGATGATTGTTTAAACCACAGTCAAAAACCTTAAACCAATTCCATTCACAGCTCCTTCACGCTAACTATATGAACTCAGCGTACAGATGGGACGGAAAGGATTGAAAACTTCACTGTCCGGAAACGCAACAGGAGTAGACCTGAATATGCTTGGATTTCAGATATTTTACAAAAGTCACAAAACTAGAGATCTCTTGATGAAAAACACCCTAACCAAGACAGAGATGTAGAAACGCACCAATGTAGTAAACAGAATGTCTTGCCCCAAACAAAGTTTCCAGGATTCGGTCCGTGTGGTACATTGGTGCAACAGCATCTCTGTCCCGGTGCCTCACAATGCCTCTCACGGAAGGGGCACCAAGACTACGATACTCGTCTTACATGCCCAATGCTCACACAAAACACCGACGTTTTCAAATCTGCATTCGGATCACATATTTGGGACAACATCGCCAGTAAACCACACAGACAAAAAACATAATAATGATAAAACTAGGCGGGATTAGATTATTGACATCCAGTGTTGTGATTTGTTATGTAATTGGTGTAGGTCACATGTGTAATATCAATTATGCCTTCTGAACGGCTAGTGGATGATCTGTTTTTGCCAGGCAAAGACGGTGGTTTTTGCCAGTGCTATCAATGAGAAGTTTTTTGTTGTTTGTATGCTCATATCTTTAATCTGATCTTTAATGTGTCTGTTGCCGACATAACGTGATTCGCTTAGGCACACATAGGAAGTGGGTCGGTGATTCCTGACACATATGTAGTCGGTGTACCGTTTGCATGTCTAGCGTGCTTTAGTGCTCGCTTCTCGTTTGTTGAGTCACTTATTTTGCTATGATCGTGAGGTCGGATTTAGTGTTAGTCAATTCCATGCTATTAATATTATTATTAATCCTAATATAATCGTATTAATCTTGTATTGCTAATTTTTGTCTCTGCTCTGTCGGTTTTCGTTCTGTTTAGTCCTAGGTCTAGTCTGTCCATTTCCGAGGTTTCGTTGTTTTCACGTCAGCGTCCACGAGGAGTGGAGGCGCGGTGCTGGCGATGGGCGGTCATGAAATGTAGTGCACCTAAAACCTCGGTGTCTTCGACGTGGCGGCCGTCTACACATAGATCGCTACGAGCAGCACATGTTTATAAAGAGAAATCTCTCCATAAAACATGAGAAATGTTAAGCTGTAATGTCCTGTTACGAAACATCAACCGTATAACCATCCCCATGTTAAGGTGGCCTTGCAACATTGGTGAAGAACTTCTGAACTCATCCCTACTGTTGCAGGCTTTCCTCAACGCTCCAGCCTTATCGGAAAACATCCAATTAGCGATGAGGAGCCGACTATTCGGATTTCAGCCACGTCAAGATCCCATTATTGTCCGCCAGCGCCCGCAGCGGGTTTGATCATTCACACCGCCGGCGTTGGTGATATCTCAGCGCCCTTTTTGCCGGCCGAAATCCGGGCCGACCGGCTAGGTGATGAGCGGGTGCCGGCGAGTTCGGCTGGCGCTGATGCAGTCCAAAGCTGCGCCTATCCCGGCTCGAGCCGGCGCCGATCCCGACCTGACCCTGCGACGATCCCGGTCCGAGCCTGCGCCGATCCCGGTCCGAGCCTGCGCC